AGAGACATCTGGAGGACCTGTAGGGTTAGCGTTTACCCTCTGCAGATGTGTTTAGGGCCAAGCAGGTGTGGCTATGTCCATGGCGTAGCTCAAAGCTGCACTGCTTTCTTTCAGCTTCTCTGTGCTGCCCACTCTGCCCTGAAAAGTCTCTAAGGCCCTGCTATCTCTCGCTCTCTGTTTCACAGTATTGGGTAGGAAGGGCAAATATCTGGAACTCTCTGAAAATAGCATTCAGAGAGAAAGTTGATTCAGAATTGAGTGAAAAGCCAGGCTTGTGTACCATCCCGCAGAGCCAAATTCAGTCTAGACATAACATACTGAACTTCATCCTCATACTTGGATAAAAGGCAATGTATCAAGCTAGCTGTTGTAGGTCTGGGCACAAAAGAAGCTACTTTTTGCAGTCCTAGAGTTCCGTGGGTGCCTTGCCCTCACTCCCACCTGGCCCCCATGGCATCTGAGTTGGACTAGAGACTGAGCTGCGAAAGCCCCAGGTTTATCTAGGCTCAGAGTACAAGATCTTCCATGAGCTCTGCAGGTGCTCTCTGCATTTCTTCTGACTTGTGTTTTCATAAACATTTGTATTCTTCAAGAATTATTTTTAAATACTGGAGGGCACATGTGCTCACTGGAGAGAGACAAAGAGGGAGAAAGCACCCTTCAGTAGGATGTGGTCATGCCGCAACTCCTTCTCCTCCATTTCTCTATCCTCTCAGGATTTTGAACATGCACACACATGTCATACATGTTTTTCAAGTCACTGAGGCCAGGATTTGAATCACAGTTGGCCATGTGAAATCTGGCTTCCTTAACCACTAGACGCATATACAAAAACATAGAAGATGTCTTTCCAGCACGTGATCAGCCCACATAGAAAGGACTCAACAAACAGAAGGAAATTAGTCAATTTCAATGGTGAGTTCCTAACAAGAGCTGCCACATCAATGTAAAATGGGTAGAGACATCCTTCTCCTCTGTACCTTCAGACATAAAAGGTAACTCAGAAAAGGCAAGAAAACTTGCTATGATATGGATGCTCTCTGGTAGCTTCTTACTGTTTCCTGGTAACTAAACTACTACTTCACAAAATAAAAATTAAGAAAATAAAAGTTTGTTGCTCTGATTTGAAAGTTTGTCCCCTCCAAATCTCACGTTGAAATGTAATTGTCATTGTAACCATATTAAGAGGGACACATAAAAGATAAATAGGCCATGAGGGCTCCAGTTTTGGAGATGGGATGATTGACTTTTTATTCTTAAATTTTGCTAGAGGGCACTTTCACTCACTGGAGAGAGACAGTGAGAGAGATAAAGAGATCAGAGAATTGAGAAAACACCCTCCTAGGCAGTGGCCATGCCACAGTCCCTTCTCTTCCATTCTCTTCTTGTGATTTTGGACATGCATGCACACACACCTTACTTGATTTTCAAGCTGCTGGGTCCAGGACTTGAACTGTCAGTCATGTAGGATCAGTCACTTTTACCACCACACCACCAGATGGCCAGAGGGATTAAACCGATTACAGAAGGGCAAGTTCAGCCTCTCTCTCTCTCTCTCTCTCTCTCTCGCTCTCTCGCTCTCGCTCTCTCGCTCTCTTGCTCTTTTGCTCTCTCTTTCTCTGTATGCATGTGTCTCTCTCCTCTTTAATCATGTGAGGAGGATGGTGCAAGAAGACCCTTGCCAAATGTCCATGTCTTAAGCTTGGACTTCCCAGTTTCTAGAACTGCGAGGATATAGATTTTTAGTCTTAATACATTATTCTGTCTCAGTTATCCTGCTATGGCAGCATAAAATAGACTAAAACATTGTTCTTTTCTCTGTAGATTAAAAGAGGGCACATATGGGAACCAGCAGTTATCGTAATGGCTATGTCGCTGGACTCCCACATTAGTCGACCATGGTTCGTGTCCCAGAACCGGTGGCTTAGAACTCACACCAGGCGCGTGTGCGTGCGTACCCAAGATCCCGAGAGGAGAATGGAGGAGAAGGGATTATGGTGTGACCATCCCCCCTGATGGGTGGTTTCTTGCTTTCTGTCTCTATGTCTCTGTCTGTCTGGTGAGTACACGCGCCCTATAGCAAAAAAAACTCTAAAAAAAAAAGAAAGAAAAAGAAAAGAAAAAAAGAGGGCACATACAATCCCTGAGGGGACAAGTACTACATCCTATGGCAGGTGGGACTCCCCATAGGAGGAGAAAACAAAGCACCGGTATATGGGCTTTTCTGTTTCAAGATTTGGGAAGCATTACAAAAAAATGAGAACAAACAAATATCCTCCTTGAAAAGAGTTTCTCTTAGAAATAAAAGAAAATATTAAAATAGCTCTAATTCTCAGACCCAAAGTAATTTTGGAGTGTATTACATTATGAAAAATGAACACTCAGAGCAAGAGAAATACTTTCAAATGAAAAGCATAATTACCAAATTAGTAATACAATAGAGAAAGTGAACGGCTGTTTGGAATCGACCGAACATGGTATCAGTGAAATAAACACCATGTAGAAAAATTTTCATGAGTCCCTGAAGAAAAAAAAAAAAGAAGGAAAAGAAGAGCAGAATATGACATAGGCAAGGAGAATCAGTTAGAAGTCAGTCACAACGCCAGAAATGCATTATAATACAGGTGACACATTATATTCAGTACCTAAAGTAACATTTAAAATAACTAAAAATATTCAACCTCAGTAGTATCAAAAGAGCTGTATACTAAAGAAATGAGATATTTTGTCTTCATTGTCAAAAGCAACACTGGGGTTTGGAGAAGTGAACTTTCTTCTCCCCTGAAAGTGGGGGTTGACCCTGTCCTATTGGTACATGTGAAAGACCCCCTGGAACAGTGACTGGCAGATATTAGATGCACAATCAATGTTTGTTGAATAAGAGAATGAAAGACCTTCTGGGCCTGTAAGGTAGTACACATTTGTCAGAATGTGCACTATGGAAATGCGCAATAATGAAAAAAATTTGATAGTCACATATATAAAATAAAGATAGCCATCTAGTATTGCTATAATAGGAACAAATACTTAATAAATAAATAAACCTTTATGTGCTCCATAATAGAGATTGTTTAAATGAATTATGGTGCCTTCATGCAACCTATCACTGTACGGACGTGAAAAATGGGTGTGGAACTTGGACTGATTTACAAAAATAGAAACAAGATGTACTCATTAGACAAAGGCAACCTTTGGAGAGTATGATAATGTGTCCTGTTGTCATAAAAAGATAAACAATCATTATATATAACATGCAGAAGATAATACACAGGCTTGTGGAGGACATCTCTGGAAAAGATATGTATGATTGTTTTTCCTTTTCTTCTTTTCTCTCTCTCTCTCTCTCTCTCTTCTCTTCCCTTTTTTTAGCCTGTATTTTGTATTCTTTTCTTCAAGATCATATTTCAGGGTCCAGGCAGTGATCCAATGATAAGGCCACTGTACTCACATCAGAAAGGTCTTGGGTTCATATCCCAGAACCTCCCTGAGCATGCCAGAAGTGCATGTACGTGCCTGTGATCTGGGCCAATGAGACTAGGATGGATCCTGGCACGAGGAACCTGAGGAGGGTTCTTATCTCGCTTTCTCTGTCTCTATCTCTCATGAAAAAAATAGATGAATAAACTTTTTTCTCTAAAATAAGAAGCATATTTTATAATTAAAACTCAATGTAGTTACAGGCCTGTCCTACTTGAGGAGTATGGCAGAAGTACAAACACTTGGAGAGAATAAAAGCCTTAGTGGACATTCTCACATGTTGGTGTATTCATCTTAAACACTTCATAAAAGAAGGACGAGAGTAGGTTAATAAAATACATGGCCAGTCAAAATAAAAGAGCCAAAGAGAGGGCCCTTCGGACATGATGTGCATCTATGGACAGGGTTTTTTCTAGGGTTCTTTCTTTGAATAAGATCCAGGCTTCATGACACATTAGAACGTGCAAAGAAAAAGAAAACTTGTTAACCAGAGGAGAAAGGCGTGTGTTAAATAGTTTAGCATAGATTCTTCTTTTTCCCCTGTATTTCTTTCAATCTAATTCCAAGTTATACTTCATGAAAAAGTTGCACAAATTTTAGCAAGCACTTAGAGGGTATTTAATGAAGCTCGCTATTTTAATAGAGATACATATGTGGCAAAAGAAGAGCTGATATTCTCCTCCTCGTCATCCACACCATGAAAAGCCAATCAGTCATAAATCGGTGTTACTGGATCCCAGTGATCTGTCCCTCCCCGACAAGCGAACACCTATAGCCACCTAAAGAAAAGAGAACTGTGCATGTTGAACACGACAGTCTGTACAATCATGTCCACACTGAGCCCAGCATGGAGCAGGTGGCCAGTGCTTACGAGATGCAGCTGAATCTGGAGAAAAGTCAGCCAAGCTGAAACCAAGGAACAGAGGTGAGTTGGGTCCTGATTTCAGGTTCCCAGCCCCACGTCTATGAATCTGCAACCCAGAGAGCTCAGAGACATTCTGCTGTAAACTCCTTTGGTGGTAAAACCTGGAGTGCTTTGAATCACTTGGAAGAAAGTCCTGACCGCTGCTGGCCTAGGGATGTGTGTGGTCTGGATCCCACTTCCCATGACTCACGTATCTCTGCAGAGAGGTGTGTACTGTACGAGCTGTGATTCCAGAAGCAACTGTGTAGGGTTTTGTGAAATATACAATTCACACACATTTCTAAAATCCTAAAAGTTCTAGAATCTTTTATAGCTGGCCCTCTTATTTCTGAACAATGGCCTATGGGGCAGCATGTCAGCCTGTTGCCTGTTTCCCCTCCAAGGAGGGGACTCTGTGGTCAAGGAGAGGCATCGGGGACTCAGAGGGTGGAGCAAGAGCTACTCGGGGTTGTGCTCACAAACTGAGACCACTAAAATATGAAAAATATTTATGGTTGAAATTCACATTTGAAAGTCTCTAAAGTATCCAGGTAACTGCTATTTAAAATCTGTCTTGACATAATTTTGAAGATGTTGAAAAGAAATAAAAGATTCTTACCTGAAAAAGTAGGTTTCGGCCCTCTCGTAGTGGCCAGGTGTTAGCTGGAGGGGAGGGTAGACGGTGGCCAGAGGTCTTACCATGAACAAGCCCATGGCCAGGGCCACGAAGAGAACCGGCAGCAGCAGGTGGGACAGTGTGCTTCTCCAGGCGCGCAGTGAGTGGCGGAGCCGCTTCCCAAGGAGGGCAGCCATCTGAGTGAGAAGCAGCCGACCTGGAGAGCCATCTGCCGGGACCGGC